CTTTTTATTATTATTGTTAGGAGATGATAGTAGTGATGTTGTTGATGATGATGATGATGAATATGATGGTGGTGATGATGATGATGATGATAATGATGGTGGTGGTGATGATGATGATGAATATGATGGTGGTGGTGGTGATGATGATGATGAATATGATGGTGGTGATGATGATGATGATGATAATGATGGTGGTGGTGATGATGATGATGATGAATATGATGGTGGTGGTGGTGATGATGATGATAATGATGACAATGACAATGATGGTGATGGTTACTAACATTATTGTTACGCAATGATAGTTATGTAGATGTTGCTGATGTTGGTGATGATAATGATGAGGATGAGTAAAAAATAATTTTTTTGCAATTGTCAACAGTCTAACAGCATCATAAATTTGAAGAATTGTAATAATAACAATAATAATAATAATAATGATAATAATATAATAATAACAATAATAATGATCATAATATATAATAATAATAATAATAATAATAATAATAATAATATAATAACAATAATGATAATAATAATCATCATCATCTTCATCATCATCATCCCAGACCATATATATTGAGTATAGAAATGACAGCGTATGTCAAGTGAACTGTTTCCGCTTGATATCTGTTTCCGGTCAGGAAAGGTTCGGTTGTGACGTCATTGCTTGAAATGTGTTGAGTGTTTAAGTTTGGTTTGTTTACTTTGTTGTAGTGGAGATTGTTGTTAACGTCGTCGTTGTTGTTGTTGCTGTATTTGAAACTCTTGTGCTTCATTGAGTTGTTGTTTCGAGTTTTGTAATTATAATCATTGTTGTTGTTGTTGTTGTTGTTGCTAACATCTGCATCAAAGTTGTAATAGTTGCCATCCAGCACTTTCAACCATTCTATGCCACCTCTACCATTATCATTATCATCATCATCACCATTAGCATCATCGTTATCAGGACCATCATTTAGGCTGAAGGCTTGATCATCATCATCACCATCAGCTGTTACATCTTTTGCATTATACACACTCAGAAATCCATTCTTATTTTTAAAAGTCGCATCATCATCATCACCAACAAGAACATCGTTATCATAACTTGACTGACGACGAAAGTGATGATGATGATGTTCACTGCGATGATGCTGATGATGATGGCGACGATGATGATGATGATGATGATGATGAAGTTGAACTCTGCAGGTGAACGTAACATTCTCACCTGGATTGGCCAGGCGGTGTGACGATTCAATGGTCAATGTCGAGGTAGGCTCAACGTCACCTGTACAGTGATTTTGATTAGACAACACTTTTTCAATGATTACATTATGTTAATGTCCGAGTTGCATAAATTATGTTAATGTTGTCTGGGTTGCATAAATTATGTTAATTTCTCTTTTGTGCATAAATTATGTTAATGTGCTAGTTTCTGGTCTATGTTTAGGACTTTACAATACTACTATACAATTTAAAATGTAATCGCATCATTCTGAAAAACACATGCATCAACATCTTACAACACACACACACACACACACACACACACACACACACACACACACACACACACACACACACACACACACACACACACACATACACATACAAACACACACACAAATTTTACTTTTTGCATTAATTGAAGTTTGCGAGTCATTGGCAGGAAACTTTCACCTGCAATGGAATGCAAGCAACAATGGAAGTAATACAATCAGTCGCACGTCTTCTCATACAACCTCCTTGGTTCACTCGTATTTTTATTTTTCGCACATGCGTTCATAAAAATGTTTGGTTCGTCTGTTCGCACATGTGTTCATAAAAATATTCGGTTCATCTGTTCATGCGTGTTCACGCTTTTAAACATTTGTTTGAGTGTTCGTCTCGTGCACTCTTTTACTTAAATATTCTCATTTATCAATTCGGTTCTCTAAACATTCAGAAAAACATTCGCAGGTTTAATTTCTCTTGCGCCAGGATCAGATGCAACATACATGCATCCCACTACCAGCAACTTCCTTCTTGGCAATCACGCCACTATCAGGTTCCAGCTGGAACAGTTTTAAAATTTCAAATTATTTTTGAGCGAGGATGAGATGAATGTTGAACAATTGTGGCTGATTCTCATAATAGAGAGGGGATAACAAAAACTTTTCAACTTTCCATGCTGTGTTAGCCATGTCAGACTTCTACCCAAACCGACATTCAACGATTCAAGGCAGTGCGATGTTCATAAGCTTGCTCATTCATGCACTCATCATCAACAACAACGTCAACAACAACATCGCCAATACAACAAAACAACAGCATCGCCAACACAACACAACAACAACATTGTCGAGACAACAAAATCAATACGCACACCAACAACAAAATAGAAAACCCAAACTCATGGTTCGAAAAATTAAAAAAATTTTATTAAAATTAATATGAACCCATGCAGAAGTATTCAAAATGGTGAACATGTTGAAGAGAGATATCACAAAGAACTAACAATGTGAATCAAAACAAAGAACAAAAAAATAATAAAGCAGACGAGCAGGCAAGGCCAAAATATGAAAAACAATAGGAACGGATGTGGAACAAAAATTTGTAATGGTAATTAAACACTTCATTAGTTTTGGCGCCAACATGTTGCATTGCTCGTCGTCTGCTCCCCTCCATGTTGCATGTCCATGTCTACCTATCGTTCTATCACATTTTAAACGCTCCAACATACATACGTTTATCTATATGTGTGTGTATATGTGTATGTATATGTGGCCATGTGGCTTGTTTAGGTGGCCATACCAGATGAATTTTGTACAAATTCTATTATGGTCATTCTGCTTTCTTTAAATTTTTCAATTTTGAGAAACAAATAAAATATCGTTTCGTTTCGTTTCGTATATGTGTATGTATATGTGTGTAAATGTACATGTATATAACTTTAATAAAACGTGTATATGTATATAACCAAAAGTAAGTAACAAAGTGAGTTAAATTATTACTACCATACATACTAATACAGAAAATAACAAACATACAAACAATAAATACCAACATGCATACAAACAATAATAATGCCTACATGCATACAAAACAAACATACAAACACACAAACAAATGTATTTTTTGATTTGTATGTCCGTATGTTTGGTTAATTTAATGCTTCTCCACGCCCCAGCTTGCAATGAACGAAAGAAGAACAGGTGCTATTATACATCATTATCATCATCATCCCTTCCATCATCATCATCAATGACATCACCATCATCATCATTATCTTCCTCCTCCTCCTCATCATCAATAACATCACCATCATCATCAATATCATCACCATCATCATCACCATCATCATCACCATCACCATCACCATCACCATCACCATCACCATCATCATCACCGTCATCATCAGTATTTATCATCATCATCATCATCATTATCATCATCGTCATCATCATCAAACAGGGTCAATGAATAGCAAACAACATTGGAAACTATTCGACAGAAGTGGTGATGGTTGATTAATGAGTGCTGCTGAATGTATGTATATGCATAATATATAATATATATAATATATTTTTAATATGTATCTATAAATATATATATCTATAATATGTGTGTGTGTGTGTGTGCTGTGTGTGTGTGTGTGTGTGTGTGTGTGTGTGTGTGTGTGTGTGTGACAACCATCTTGATATCATTGCTTATATTAAATATGAAAGTAGGAAAAGCTGTAACATGAGAAAGAGAGAGAGAGTTTATGAGAGTGTGAGAAAGTGAGAAAGAGAGAAAGTGAGAAAAGGGATAGAGTAGAGTAGATCATTCATCCCAATGCATAGAGGATATAAGCAGCAGAAATGATAGATATCTAAATATGAAACATCCTGATAGAGTACATGTCTTCATAAGTCATCAAGTCAAATTTGGCACTAATATAAACATTCAATCGCCCGTCATAATAATGTTCGTCATTTGGTTGGTCTGGCCAAAGTTCAAGAAACCAACTCACCGTGTATGCCCGTCTAGGAGTAAGTGCGTTATGAGGTAGGTTCAATTTCTAAGATAATGTAACAAAAGAAATTCTCAGAGAATTATTTCTGTTAAGAATGTAATGAGATAATTTTGTTAGTAACAGCTGCAGTAGTACAAATACGAATATAATAATGTAGTGATGTTGAACGCAACTGAAGTCCAAATTGAATTGACTAATAACATAAACTAAATGAATTGGCAAATATGGCAGACGAAGTAATTATAATGAGACAAAAGTAAATGGTTAACGTGCTACCAAATCAAAAAATAGTAATGGTTTTGTTCTAAAGACATGCATATAAATTTCTTGAAGTTAGCTGATCACTGCTGTAATCTATATGTAACCGACTTAATAAAAACAACAAAAAACATGCATCATAACAACAACAAGCAAACAAGCAAGCAAGCAAACAAACGACAACAACAAACAAACAAACAACAACAAAAAAACAACAACAAACAAACAAACAACAAAAATAAATGCAACTGACATCACATTACAAACAAGCGACATCGACATGCTAAATGAGCGATAATAGAAGAGCGACTGCGCCTGAAGCATAGATATAAAAGTTTTCATTGATCAATTCATAAACGCTAATAAAACCGCCAAACAACACGTCATTAACCGTGTCGGTGACGTCATTAGCCAGCAAAGATAATAAAAAATAAAACATGATAAATTTGTAATGTAACGAAATATACAGTAAAAATTAATGTGCGCTGCATCAATTAAACTTTATTAATGTATATAAATTTTATATTTTCACATAGAAATGTATGGGATATATTTTCATGTATCAAACTTAAAAAAAATTAATACACACACACAAACACAAACACACACACACACACGCCTTTTTTTTACGTATAATGTATACATTGTATAAGTATGTTTGTTTGTGTGTTACTGTGTTTGTGTGTCATATTTTGTATTCATCAGAAGCATTAAATTTAATTGACGCTTCGTAATATTTTAAGTTATAAATTATATAAATGTATATGTACCTATATAAATTTATATATATATATATATATATATATATATTTATATATATATATATATACATAATGATTCGGTCTATATATTTATTCTATAGGTGTTATTTTTTAATTGAAGGGCGACCGATACCAACTTCCTATTGTCCGGTGTGTTAAAATGTACTGGAGATCACCATCATGTTTATTGCTTCTGTTATCATTGTGTCTATCGTTGAAGATTGAGAGTTATTGTTTAAAATCAGGCAACATTGATATGATATACAGACAGAACAAAACACACACACACACACACACACACACACACACCCACACACACACACATGCATACATACATACCAACAAAGTAACTATTATTGTTTTTGCAATTTATCGTCCTGGGTCTTCTATTCCATCACCATTGTTTTTTGATGAAATTATGTTATTTTTATTGGAGATGTGAATATTCATGTTAAACTTTTGAACGACCCTAATGCATTGAAATTGTTTGAAATTTTTGATTTATATCAATTGATAAATAGAATAAATGAACCAACCCACGTTCATGGTGGAACATTAGATTTAATTGTCTCTAGTTCTGACCTTCCCTCACAATTTTTTCCGTTGAGCCACCAAATGTGTATTCAGACCACAGTTTAATTAAAATTTGTTTCCCTATTTCTGTTCCCACACCTCAGAAAAAAAGGAAACTTACTCGTTCATGGAATCAAATTGACGAAAATCAATTTTCTTCGCTAGTTCTCGAATCACCTATTTCAGGGCCGTTCAATTCATCTTCCGCTGATACCCTGTTGGATTTGTTTAATTCTGAAATCGTGAGGATTGTGGATATCGTTGCTTCTTGTCGTTATGTCAAATTTACTCATGTACCATCTGCTCCTTGGTTTGACTCTGAATGTCGTTCATTAAAACGCAATTGTCGAAAACTGGAACGATTGTATAGGAAAATAAAAAATGATATTAATCGAAATGCATGGCGCTTAGCGTTAAAAGAAAAAATACAAAAATTTTCCCAAAAAAGAAACAAATTTTGGTCAAATCAAGTTGATTCGTTTAAAAAACAACCAAAAAAATTGTGGAATATCCTCGACAAAATTTTATCTAAAAATCACAATAATAACCATTCAAATGATTTCTCCCCCAATGATTTTATGACATTTTTTATCAATAAAATCAATAATATTCGTGGCACGACTATAGAAAATACTAACAAACTAATCCAGTTTGAGTATGTCTCTAGGGTCGTCTTACCTGAAGCAATTGTTAATCTTTCCAATTTTTGAAATATGCACGCCAGATGAATTGCGTAAAATAGTTTGTGACTCTCCTGGCAGTTCTTGTTCTCTTGATCTGATTCCAACATACATATTTAAAAAATTTATAGATCTTTTTTTGCCATTTTTGACATTTTTTGTCAACCAATGTTTATCAACTAGCAGTTTTCCCAACCCTTTGAAACATGCTATTGTTTATTACCGTCCTATCTCTAATCTTTCATTCATTTCTAAAGTCATTGAACAAGTTGTTATCAAACAATTGTTACAGCATTTAAACAAAAACAATTTGTTGCCAAAGAATCAATCCGGCTATCGTCAATATTTTTCCACGGAAACTGCACTCATTGATATTTTATCCCAGCTGTTCTCTTCAGTTGACAGTCAATGCGTTTCTTTTTTGGCATTACTTGATATGAGTGCTGCATTTGATTGTGTCAATCATACTCGTCTCATGTATAAACTCTCCACAAATTTTTTTCTCTCTGATTCAGTCTTATTGTGGTTCGCTTCCTATCTTTTAGGTCGCACCCAGCAGGTTTCTTACAACAACACCCTTTCTGACATAAGCAAACTATCGTTTGGTGTTCCCCAGGGATCTGTGTTGGGATCTCTGTTGTTTTTTATGTACACTGCTGATGTTTTTGATATCATTCAAAAATATGAGTTCAGCTCCCACGCCTTTGCTGATGATATTCAGTTATTGGTTTCTTGTCCTGTTGATTCGATTGATGCTTCTCTGAATGAACTGACTGATTGTCTCATCGAAATTGGATCTTGGATGAGTATGAATCAGTTAAAGTTAAATCAATCTAAAACACAAATATTACCGGTTGGTTCTTGGCAGCAGCTATCGAAGGTTAAAATTTCATCGATCAGTGTCGGCAATGACATCATTGAATTTTCCACATCTGTCCGTAGTCTTGGAGTTATTATTGACTCAAACCTAAAGATGGATTTACATATTAATAATTTAGTGAGGGTCTGCTCCAACCAACTCCGTTTATTACGCAATGTCAAAAAATCACTAAACACGTCTGTTCTTCAAAGCTTGGTTTCCTCTTTCGTCTTTTCCAGACTGGACTACTGCAATGGCCTTTTTTATGGTGTCACGAAAAGGTCTTTTTCAAAACTTCAGTCAATACAGAATCGTGCGGCCAAGCTGGTTTTGGGTGGTTCATGGTTCGATCATGTTACGCTTGTTTTGAATAGGTTGCACTGTTTGAGGGTTGAAAAACGTGTTTCCTTCAAGTTGGCAGTTTTGATGTTTAAATGTGTCAATAATACAGCACCTCCCTATCTCATCGATACAAATCTAATGTTTCAAAATATTCCTTCCGATCAACCGAGCGCCATTTATTTTTTATCCTGACCACAAAGTTGGTGACGGGTTCCCGCAACTTTGCGGTTCTTGGCCCGATTGTTTGGAATGGTTTACCTCCATACTTACGTGACCCCAACCTATCATATTTACAATTTCGAAGTCAACTTAAAACTTATTTATTTGCACAATGAATGTCCGTCTTATTTGTCTATGATTTAGTAGCGTTTTTGAGATTCAACAATAAAAAGCGCTGTATATAAATTTCCGTAATAATAATAATAATAATAATACCATACATACAATGTATGAGCGAAAAGTCTTATCCTTGACGAACATATCCGTGCACAAGTTCCACAAATCCATACACCTGTACTATCGCCGCCTTGGGCCGTCTGTTTTCAGCGAGTTCTTTTTTCAGCGAGGGCAGCTGTACGTGCCAGTTCAAAAGCTGAAACCACCGACTGGGTAGACCTTCTCCATTCCTAGCGTCGCAGAGCATCAACACAAAGAGCCTTGGGGTCTAGACCACAGTTTTTCATATTTTTTTCAAAGCTGTCTTTGTATCTGCGTACAGGGCCACTGGCCAGTCTATTTCCCGATGCTAGCTGACCAAATATACATACATACATACATGCATACATACATACATACATACATACATACATACATACATACAAACATACATACATACATACATACATACATACGTACGTACATACGTACGTACATACATACATACATACATACATACATACATACATACATACATACATACATACATACATACATACATACATACATACATACATACATACATACATACATACATACATACATACATACATACATACATACATACATACATACATATATACATACAGATACATACTGAACAAATTTTTTACAATAAAACCTGGTCTAAAATTAAGAACATAAAGTTTGGAGTTCATCAGGGGTCGGTGTTGGGACCAATATTGTTTCTGTTGTACACACATGAGATCCTGGATGTCATCAAGTCCTTTGGTTTCACGGGGCGTGCCTTTGCTGATGATATACAGATTATTGTTAGTTGCCCGCCAGAGGAGTTTGATGAGATGGATAACAACTTAACACGTTGTCTGGCAGAGGTCAATAAATGGATGATTAAAAACAGACTAAAACTTAATCAGAGTAAAACAAAACTACTGCCGGTAGGAACCTGGCAACAGCTTTCAAAAATAAATATCCCATCACTGGATATAGATAATGTCAAAGTGGAATTCTGTACAAAGGCTTCAAGTTTGGGCGTTAACATTGATTCTAAGTTAACGTTGGATCATCACATAAAATCATTGAGGAGAGTTTGCACTTTCCAACTACGTAGGTTGAAATTGATAAAAAAATCGCTAGACGAAAATACTCTTAAGCTCATCCATTCGCGTTTGGATTATTGTAACAGTTTGTTCAACGGCTTACCAGAAAAATCATTTGGGATGTTACAGTCAATTCAAAATCGTGCGGCTAGAGTTGTGTCTGGCGCCTTTAAATAGGACCATGTTTCACCAATTTTAAAGCAACTACATTGGTTGTCTATCAAAAATCGTGTTCTGCTCAAAACTTGTGTATTAATTTTTAAATGCATCAATAATTGTGCACCTAGATATTTGATAGACAAAACAACACGAAAGGCACCTCATTATGTCAATTTGCGATCTGATGAGTCAAATTATCTGGCAGTACAGACAAGCCAGTTAAGAATAGGATCTAGAAGTTTTGCTGTTTTGACTCCTAGGATATGGAACAATCACCCAAGCCATTTACGGGATCCTAGTCTAAATTTGTTGACATTTAGAAGGCTGTTAAAGACTTATTTGTTTTCATCCTAACATTGTTTTTGCTTTTGCATTTTGAGAGCGCTTTTGATAAATTTTACATTTTAATTGGCGCTACATAAGTTGTAATAATAATAATACATACATACATACATACATACATACATACATACATACATACATACATACATACATACATATGAGCTTTTGAGAACACTGTAGTGTTATAATCGGCGCTTTATAAGTTTCCAAATAATAATAATACATACATACATAAGTTTGTTTGTTTGTTCGTTTGATTATGATATCGGCAAAGAAGTTTCCGCGATGTTCAACCATTTTGTTAACATTTATTGGTTAGGTTATGTTACGATTGATAGATTGTGTTATGTTGGCTGAAGTTGCGAAGACTCCATGCGTCTTTCTTAAGAGATGCTCCTCAATATTTGGCACACAAAGGAGCAAGTACCAATGTACTTGGACATGGTTTTTTTATTATCGTATCATTTTTAAACATATTCTTTATCATTTACAGAAAGGCACGCACACACAAATGCATACACAAACACAAATACACACACACACACACACACGAATACACACATACACACACACACGAATACACACATACACAGATACACATGTTAGCAAACGTACGCATGCAGGCAGACAGACTATGTGGCAAACGACTAACTTGTGGTCGAAGGTAGTAATAGTGGTAGTAGGAAAAACATTTTGAAAAAAAAATTCAGTTTCGTCGACATGTTGTTGTTACTGTTGTTGTTGTTGTTGTTGCTGCTGCTGCTGCTGCTGATATTGTTGTTATCGTTGTTGTTGCTGTTTATTTTTGTGAACTATTTTGTTGTTAATTGATGCGAGTGATAAAAACGACATCTCTTAAAATAATGCAAAAAAAACAAACAAGACTAAGATGCTTGCATTTAGTACCCTTTCAACTACCGGTTAATTATTATCAATCAGAAGCGTCCAGAATAAAAGTTTTGCTTTTCAAATCATATGACCGAACGAAGGAACGTCAGTTGAATGCGAGCTACGAACATGAAAATAATATCTGCTCACGGCAACTAAACAGCAATTTTCTACCTACCTACCTACCTACCCGCCAATAGATTATTTCTTTCAGATTTATCTCAACTAATCGATGGTAGATCAGACCACACAGCGGCAAATCACACACACAAGTATCTTTTATACCTAAGTAACCTGCATGGCTCTGTGTGTGTGTTTGTGTGTGATCTCCTACGCTCACATGCACAATTATACACTTCTTTACTATATTTTCGTTCTATATATATATATATATATATACATATATATATATATATATCTATATATATATACTAAATATATGTAAACATTATAAATATATATATATATATATATTTATTTTTATATTGCTGTTGTTGTTCAATTAATCACTTACAAAATAATTTAAATATTTAATCAGGAGGCCCTCCCAAAACCAAAAAGTGTCTATGGCACAGATAGATAGATGGATAGATGGATAGATGGATGGATGGATGGATGGATGGATGGATGGATGGATGGATGGATGGATGGATGGATGGATGGATGGATGGATGGATAAGGATCTATTCATCAAACTAGACACGATGCGAGATGCTCTGATCGGTTGAGTTTGCAGTCTTTCCATATGTGGGTTTTGGTCATCCGTGGTTTCCACGCTACTGTAGCATAATCTACCACAGTTTTTGTAAAGCAAAATAAATTACGTTTGCGATGACCTCTGTCTCCTTGCAGTGCAACTAAGGACCCGCGGCCTCAAGTGGAATTCAACTGGTCCTAAAAGATAACTGTTGTTGCTGTTGCTGTTGTTGTTGTTTTGTCAGTTCATGTATCTATCTCCTTTGTTGTTCACCAACCTGTTAAATATTCATTTGACATTTTTACAGCATTGGTGGGCAAAGTGATCAACTCTTCCAAACTTCCTTATATTCCATACTTTTTCCTCAAATCAACTATTTTCCGTCATCTTGTCCATGTGTGTTCCATTTCTTCCATCTCCATACCATGGTGTCTGCATACCGCCTCATTAATAATACCAATTCTGTTCTGATAGCTTTTTAGCCTGTGCGGAAACGGAGAAGATCTATATATATATATATATATATATATATAATATATATAATATATGTATATTATATGATAATTACGCTCTAATATATATAAGGTAATTACGGTCTAATTTACTGAATGTTTCTTACACTTTCCGTAGTGGTTAAAAATATACCGCCTTACACCTTGAATCAGAATTATTTTTCAATTTACATAGTTTTTCTGACACCAATTCCTTCATCTTCTTCCAAATTACACCTCGGCCAGTAATGACTTTTTGGGCATTTTCAGATTCCGTCCCTGCTTTTTTGTTGAATTCGATGCCATAGTGACTGGGTAGGGTTTCCAATTTAATATTACTTCTCTTTTTTTTCAGACCATCTTTTAACTTTTTTGTTTATTTGTATTAGCATTGGTTTTGGCTGTCGTTTGCCCGCTAGGAATTAATAACTGCCCTGCTGTTTGTTATGATCGTTACTTCACTCCACCCTTCATTTTCCATCATCCACTTTACAGCTTTCCTCACAGCCAGTAGTTTTGCGTCACGACTACTGCACCGCCTGCCTGCATTGGCTCACTTTTTCACCAATCTCCAGCTTTGCAACTAGGGGCCCCATGCTTCGACTGGAGAAAAACAGGTTAGCAACAAACACACTAACAAATATTCTGCTGTTGTTATTGTTGCTGTTATTGTTGCTGTTAGTGTTGCTGTTATTGTTGTTGTTATTGTTGTTGTTATTGTTGTTGTTATTGTTGCTGTTATTGTTGCTGTTATTGTTGTTGTTGTTAGGTGCACTGCACGTCTTGTTCCAGGGCATTACTACAAATTAGGTTCTAATGATCGGGACTTACTTTTGTGGCCCCAACTAATCTCGTTACATGATCAAGAAATTTTTAAGTTGTTGGGTCATCTGTATGGAATAGCCTGTTGCTGTTGTTATTGTTGTTATTGCTGTTGTTGTTGTTGTTGTTGTTGTTATTGTTGTTGTTGTTTTTGTTGTTCTTATAGCTGTAATTGTTGTTGTTGCTACCATACTGTCGTCACTTGGACTGATAATAATATCATTCTTTTCTTTTGTTTTGTTCTGTTATTAACAGGCAAACCACATGCAAACCACACGAGCTCACACTTCAATTTTTACTTGCAAATACACATACATACTCACTCATACATGAATGAACATACTCTCATAGGCAAGCACCAAACATTCATACAGACAATCATACGTACATACATACACACATGCATACATACACAAACACACACGCACACAAAGAGACAAACAAGCTTACAAATACACACATACATACATCCACCTACCATCGTAAATTATACATATTTATTATTTCATGTTACTGACAACACCGGCTTATTTCATGATTGATGGATAATTTCACAACTTTATATCTTTCATTAATTGTTTGTATGTTTCTATCCCATACATGCATTCCATACATACATACATACATACATACATACATACATACATACATACATACATACATACATACATACATACATACATACATACATACATACATACATACATACATACATACATACATACATACATACATACATACATACATACATACATACATACATACATACATACATACATACATACATACATACATACATACATACATACATACATACATACATACATACATACATGCATGCATGCATACATACATACATACATACATACATACATACATACATACATACATACATACATACATACATACATACATACATACATACACACATACAAACATACATACATACTTAGATTACCGAACGACATGAGTGAATGATTGTTTTATTGTTGGAACAACTCATCGAATGTGATCCAAGCAAAAATATACACTAGACACATATATAAATAGACACACACATACACACACACACACATAAACACACACACCCACACACACACACAAATACATACACACACACGCGTATATTTATATAATGTATGCAAACATAATGAATAAATAGATAACTTTATATACTTTGGTTTTATATTTTATATACCATGTATTTGCATATACATGGTCAGAGGCATATATATCATCATGACATTAATAATGTAACATTTAATTAATGCCACAACATTTTTAATGTGTGTGTATGTATGTGTGTGTGTGTGTGTTGGCGTGTGTGTATGTACATATGCCTTATGTTCTCATATATTTGTTATGCGGAACATACTGATATTGGCAAATATATTTTTTCTTTAAAATACGAATTTTATTTAATTTTCAAGAAATTTTTATAGAATTTTATTTAAATTCTATATATCAATCAATAAAAAAATATATATTATGTGTGCCCATGTGTTTGTGATGCAGTTGTGAGGTTGTGTATGTTGTTGTGTGTGTTTTAGTATATGATGTTGTGTGTGTGTGTGTTTGTGTGTGTGTGTGTGGTTGTTATGTGTTCTATGTGATGTTGTGTATGTTGTTGTTATTGTTGCTTTTGCGTGTTTGGTTGTATGTAATGTTGTATGTGACGTTTTGTGTATTGTTGTGTGTGTGGTTGTATGTGAGGTTGCGTGTGATGTTGTGTGTGCTCTTGTATGATATATATTAATCGCCTGATAGATACCCATCCATATCTGCTCCTTGCTCTTGCCTAAATCCTCACCGCCGAATTGAATTACAACTGAAGTGTGTACGTACGTGTGTTTGTTGTATAGTTGTATACTTGTGTACGTGCATGTTTATGTGCATGTTAGTATGCATGCACGTGTATGTGCATGTGCATGTTCATGTTAGTATGCGTGTGTGTATGCTTTTGTGTATGTTTTTTTGTATATCACATTTGGGGTTTTTCTTTGTATATAGGTTTATGTCTGTGCTTGTGAACGTACGTGATTAAGTTTGTATGTTTGTATGTATGTTTATTTGTTTATATATGTGTTAATCTTTGCGTGCGAGCGCGTGTGTATGTGTTTTTATGATTTGTGTTCATTCGCGCGTGTATTTTTTTAATGCATCTGTGATCTGTATATATCAACTTTTGGCTGTGTCTCTTTTCACTGAAGTATTGTTCATTCCAACGTCAAAAAACATATGCAACGCATCCTCAGAACGCATATCATTGTTTTGTTTGTCTAAGTACTTGCTTGCTTACTTACTTAAATAAATTATATATATATATATATATATATATATATATATATAGAGAGAGAGAGAGAGAGAGAGAGAGAGAGAGAGAGAAAGGGAGAGAGAAAGAGTGAAAACAGAAGTAAGTATGCGTGTGTATCTGTATGAGTGTGCGTATGTTTGCATACGTGTGTGTTTGTGTGCAAATATTTGAGTGTATGTGTGAATGCCGGCGTGGTGGGCATTGTATGTTATATTCTCTGAGACAGCCTGCCGAATGAAAAAGGTCTTCAAATGGTAGAACACATGGCGAATGAAAACGAACTTTGTTTTAATTTGGTGTCTTTTTGTTTTAATTTTGTTTTAATTATATTAATATTATTTTATTGGGGGGATTTATTTCCTTATTCAATAGAGTTTTTTTTGATTGAATGTTGCTAGCCACGAATTTATGATCTCTTTTGTGTCATAATTTTATTTGTTTCTAGTTCAGTTTGTTGTAAGTTAAGGAGGAGTGTATCCGTTGAAGAAATTATTTTATTTAAAAAAGCAAAAATATAAAAATGTTCATAAAGTAAATTGTTCTCAATTACAAATTGGTTTTTAATTCATAGTTGATTTTCAAAATAATAAATAAATTATGATTTATTTGCACAATACATATAATTTAATTCAATGTATTAAAATTCGTAACTGAAATCATTGAGATATTTTTTGAAAAATTAGATAAATATCCAAATTATATATAAAATGTTTTAGTCCATGTTTTTTTAAACAAAAACAAATTTGCAAATTTGCCTAAATCAATGGGGCTCACTTTCACAAAAAATAATGTTTTCGCTATTAATTACAACAAAAAATAAAGTACTTTTAAAAGCAGTCGGTATAATAAGCATCAGCAAATTCAAAGTTTTGATTATATTAAAATATAAACCGACATGATGTCAGTCTTCAAAGCAATCTTATCTTCAAGCGTAACTAAAAGGAGGAGAGATGCAAGTGTTTTCTTGAACACCCCAGACCAATCCAGCCGCACAATCCATCACAAAACATTGTTTCCATTGACTACACTGAACAAATTTGCGGCCATTTACGTGAGGGAAATAGAGTTTGTTGGCCTGTATATTGGCATCAGTGCACGGGTTGGGTTGGTCACAGGTGTAACGCTGATAGTTGCAGGATAGAGCCGATTGATCCCACACGGAGTTCGAACAATTTTTAACGGAGCAGGTATAGTCCGTCTCACATTTTACGTACTTACGAGAATCACCGTGTGGAAAATAATATTTGCGATTATTGAGCACGTTGTAAGGAGTACATGGATTGTTTGTGTCGCAGTCATAAGTGTTTTTGTAGCAATCACTACCGCCGTTGATATCTCCAGGGGAACGAACGCAAGTGTAAGCAGATTGACTCCAGACTGTCCTAGGAGCGCAAGGTCGGATGAAGCATCTTTGGAAAGCATCACACTGGACAAAGTACGATGGATCGTCGTAAGTAAAATAGAAAAGATTCAGAGCAATGTTTGATTGTGTGCAAGGGTTTCTATCGAGACAGTTGTACTTGTTGGATCCGGTTGATCCGGTTGATCCAGTGGAACCAGTTGACCCTGTGGACCCAGTTGACCCGGTTGATCCTTGGTTAGTAATTCTAATGCAAGTTTCAACGTTTTGACTCCATTTAGTATCTGGTGCGCAAGGTCTCACAAAACATTTTTGGAAATCGTCACACTGAACAAAGAAGTATGGATTTTCGTACGTAAAGTAATAATTACCTTGAGCTGCATTTGCCTTGGTACACGGATTATTATTTTGACAATTGAAAGTGTTGTTTGAACCGCCACTTGAACTGCTGCCGTTTCCGTTCGAGTTACCATTACCTGTTGGTCGAATGCAAGTGTGGACCGACTGACTCCAGACAGTTGCAGGAGCGCAAGGCATGACAAAACATCTTTGGAAGTCGTCACACTGAACAAATTGACGTGGATTGTCGTGAGTGAAATAAAACTTTCCTAGTGCTGCATTTTCTTTTGTACAAGGATTGCGATCTGCGCAGTTGTTTGTGCCAACTGAGTTTCCAGACGATCCGCATGAAGAAGTGCTGTCGTTCATGTAACCGTTGGAATGAGTGCACGTTTGGACAGCTTGATTCCAAACAGTTGATTCAGAACAAGGCATAACAAAGCACTGCTGATATTCAGAACATTGCACAAAATGTGTTGGTTCATCGTAAGCAAAATAAAACTTCTTCTCAGCGGCATTCTGAAGAGTGCAGGGGTTTCTGTGTAGGCAGTTATATTTTGGGGTTGAGGCGACGGCAGTGTTCGCATTGTTGCTGCTACTGCTGCTATTGACGTTTGATGGAAAATTGCAAACTGTAACCGACTGATCCCACACCGTTCCTGGAGCGCATGGCATGACAAAACACTGTTGCAAGTTATCGCACTGAACGAAGTAATGAACGTCATCGTAAGGGAAGTAGAACTTGTTCTTGTTTGCATTTGCCACAGTGCAAGGATTCCTATCAGCACAGTTATATTTACCAACCAGACTTGGACATGTACCAGAAGAAGTCCCAGATTGACCATTACCATTTCTGACGCAGGTGTTAGCCGTTTGACTCCAAACAGTTCCAAGAGCGCACTGTTTGATGAAGCATCTTTGAGAGTTATCACATTGGACAAAATATTTCGGATCGTCGTAAGTGAAATAAAATTTGTTTAAATTTGCATTAGATACTGTGCACGGATTTCTGTCATAACAATTATATTTATCACTTGATCCTGATGGACTTGATCCAGTGGAGTTGTTGCCAGTTCCAATAAAATTAGCATAGTTGCAGGTCAGAACAGTCTGGTCCCACACGGTTCCAGGAGCACAGGGCCTGATGAAACATTTCTGGAGGTTGTCGCATTGGACAAAAAATTTTGAATCATCGTATGAAAAGTAGAATTTGTTTAGCTGAGCATTTGCGACGGTGCATGGATTTCTATCGTGGCAGTTGTATGTGTTGGAAGTTTGTTGGTTGTTTGTACTGCCGTTCGTTGTGCCATCGTGATCGCAAGTGAGGATGGATTGGTCCCAGTGCGTTCCAGGTGCGCAGGGCATGACGTAACATTTTTGGAAGTCATCACATTGCACGAAATGGTCAGAATCGTCAGAAGCGAAATAGTACTGACCTCTCAGCGCGTTGCTTTTTGTGCAAGGGTTGCGATCACCACAGTTGTGTGTGCAAGGGTCTCTATCGTTCTGGTTGTTGTTGTTGTTGACGTGATTATCAGTGACGTTGCAATAATTTCCAAATACGTCAGCAATGAGATATGGAAAGTTACACGTTAAAGCTCTCTGATCCCAAACTGTTCCGATGGCACACGGTCTTAAATAGCAATGTTGATACTGGTCACATTGAACAAACATTTTTGGGTTGTCGTTGGAGAAGTAAAAGTTGTTCATGCGAGCATTGCTGACTGTGCACGGGTTTCTATCGTAGCAGTTGTGCTTAGGAAAAAAGTTGACGTACAGGTTCTGACCGTTAGAACTGCTGCCACTACTGCCACTGTTTGCAACCGCTGATGGATGGTTGCAAGTGAGAGCCGACTGATCCCAAACAGTTGCCGGAGCACATGGCATAACGAAACACTGCTGGAAAGCATCGCATTGAACAAAATGGTAAACATCGTCGAACGGGAAATAAAACTTGTTTTGATTAGCATTCGCCACTGTACACGGGTTCCTGTTGCCGCAGTTGTACTTGCCAGCAGTAGAGAAACAGCTTCCGTTCACAGCGTTGTCGCCGCTACTCGATGCAGTGCGCACACACGTCAGGTAGTTTTGGTTCCAGTTGGTTCCAAGAGCACAGGTTTGTATGAAGCAGTTCTGCGAGTTGTCGCATTGCACAAAATTTTTGGGATCGGAATGCGTGAAATAGAAGCGATTGAGAGCTGCATTCGCCGTTGTGCATGGATTGACGTTGGCACAGTTGTAGTACACTGGATCACCTGCGTTTCAGTTGTGGAAATAGAATATTAATTTCATTTGAAATAGGATATATTTTAAATGAATATTCAGTTATAACTTTAAAAAATCTTTATATCATATTTTTAGGAAAATATTGTCAGCAATATCTCAATTTCAAGTTGAGTTTTTCATAAAATTTTTAACTTGAAGTAACTTGTGATTGATGAAAAGTTTAAGCGAAACGTAACACATTCAATTATGAAAACGCAATACGATAAAAGAAAGAAAGAAACACAACAATTCATCTCATATGTGAAAGTAGAACGACAGACACCAGCGAACCTTCAACGAACGTAGTGGCCACCAGCAGCAGCTGCGCCAGGACCTTCAACAGCATGCTTCAACGTCTTCAAATGCAGATAAACCTGAACAATTGTAAAATAGATCATCATTGCAGTTTAATTCAGCAAAACACGAAATAATTATTATGGTACTATAGTTTGTTGTGATTATCATCGGTGAGAAATATTTTAATCTATAAAAAATTATATTAGTTTCAAATATTTGTATTAAACGAGTAAATGAATAAAAAGGTAAATAAATAACTATATATATATATATATATATATATATAAACCCTAAATCGATATATATATATATATATATATATATATATTGGAATGCGATCTAAACATTGTCGCAACACGTGTTAACTCGACAGAAGTAAAATACTGATCATTTTTATGTTTATTAGAACGAATTTAAAAGAAAAAAAATGATATTTCGACAGTTGCAGTTTATTAAAATTAAAAATTAAGACCTCTTGTGTTAAAAGCTGTATTAATAAATCAACCGGAGATATTGGTTTCCCTGTTCACCGGTAAAAATAAAGTTTACTACGTTCAGCCACTTCAATGTTAACTGTTTTTTAATTCAAATATTGTATTATTTATTTAAACGTAAGTCTAAGTGTAATACTTTAAACATATTCAAGTCAGTTTCTAGTTCCTAACTGATTATTACAAATTTATTATATTTTAGTAAAAAAAATCTCTTAGTTATGGTTTTTTTAAATGGAGAGCCAACAACACTTGCAACATCAATTCGCCACACCGCTCATTAACAGTTAATTAAAATTATTGACATCCGTTTTGGCATGTCAGAAAATCAATAAACAAACCCATATTGTTTTATATCTTTAACTTAAGCACTTTTTAAAATAATTACTGTTAAAAAATGACTATCATTTAAAACTTTAACCATAAACACTAACATATCGACAAGAGCACAATGTTTTGATTAGATATCGAACCGGAAGATATCAAACCATTTTTTTAATTCTTTCCATGCGTTGCCCACCCAACTTCCAACAATGTTGATTGTTATAAATGCAATAGCCCATATTGGGCTATTGCATTTATAAGAATTAACATATATGCCCCGCCACCCCATAAAAACAAAACCAATTGATACCTGAACCGGTGGAGCAAAGATTACTGACAGCAACTTCGAGTTCTGTCGACGATCGTTCTACTCTTGAGATGTCTTCTCCTGATAAGTTCTGTTTTTCCAGATGTGTTCTTCCCTCTGCAGTTGGACTTCCCGATCGTCTTTGATGGAAGCCAGCCACATCAGCGTTCTTATATACTAATTTCGTTTGGTTATTATTCTTATTATTTTTAATGGGTTTTGAATCACTGTCGCTATTGTTATTTTTATTGTTGTTGTTGTTCATTTTATAGTTCACTCACGTTTTTTCATCAACGTAACTTCCTACCTGAGCGATTGTGTCATTGAAAATAAGAACAACAACAATAATAGCAGCAACAGTAGTAACAGCAAAGCAATAAAATAATAGCAATAACAATAGTAACATTTACATGCCAACATCAATCAAGCTGTTACGATAACATAGACAACAATGGCGTAATTTTCGAATTCGGCTTGAATTGAAAAATGACTGAAAATCGTTTAAATATTTTTAAAAATTGGAAAAACGTCATAACAATAATAAAAAATATAATAATAAAAATATTAACCATTAACAGGTCTTTTCTTGCTGCTTTTATTGTATTAATAATAATAAGTTTCTCTTAGTAATGCTACGTGATGATGCACGATGTTTATGTGACGTTTTTTTTTCATTGCCACTAAAATCCTCATTGGTCGCTTAACTTTTGAGTCATTATTTTCATAGCGTCATTACTGTTGACAGACACACGCATACACACTCAAACACACGCACTCACACGCACCATATACACACACATAAAAACATATCTCACACACACAGCACTTACATGCACACATACACAACACACACACTCACATAAACGTGCGTACACACATCACGCACTGAACACGGCAAATATTAATATTATTAATATTAATATTAAAATTAATATTAATATTAAAATTAATATTATTATTAAAATTAATATTATTATTAAAATTAATAATATTATTATTATTATTATTATTACCCTTATCATCATCATCATAATCGTCTTCACAAATTCTGAAAAGATGAGGGAAAGTTTTATAAAATTTTCGATCATCTAAAATCTTGTACAAGCACACGCACACACACGCACACACTCCAACACACACACTCACACACAAATCTATATATTTCATTTCATTTTCAAAATCTATTCATAATCAACGACATATCAATGAACAAGTTTTTGATGTTGAGTATTTTCATCTCGAGATAATATTCACTTGTGTGACAATGAGGATGAAGATTTTTAAATATTCTGATGAATCGGTTTTGGCATTTTGTTAACTGTTTTAGATGAATGTCAGGACTGTTTCCCCAAATTACGTATAATATTTGTTAAAATTTTCGGACCAAAAATAATGTAATTACATTTAGAATAATTTACTATTAATTTATTTTTGATAAACCAGGTTGATATATTTTGAAGACTGTTATTGATGTGTTCTACTTCTTTCAATGGGTCTTTAGTTGGGAAGAAGATGTTAGTGTCATCTGCATATAGAAGGTGATTTGCATCAGTTGCATGTTGAAAATCGTTTATGAAGATTATGAATAGAAGAGGACCTAAAATTGATCCTTGTGGCACGCCTGATCTTACGTTAAGTTTTGTTGAGGAGTGACTTTTTATTGCCACATACTGGTCTCTGTTCTCTAAATAACTTTTGAACCATGCACTTACTTTTCCTCTTATTCCATGTGAATTTAATTTTTTAATCAGTATATCGTGGTTGATGACGTCAAAGGCCTTTGAGAGGTCTATGAATACACCTATAGTCAGTATCTTTTCGTTAAAATTATTCATAACATTTTGTGCTAATTGCAGCACAGCTTGCTCAGTTGAATGCTGTGCTCTGTAGCCATATTGATTATCATTTAATAATTTATTTATGGACAGAAATGAGGTGACTCTGACAAAAATTATTTTTTCTAGTACTTTGGAAAGTGGAGAAAGTAGAGATATTGGTCGATAATTACTTGTCTCTAATTTGCTCCCCTTTTTGTGAATTGGAACAACTCTGGATGTTTTGAAGCATTGTGAAATTTTTCCTTGGACGATGGAAAAATTGTAAATATGAGTGATTGGGATGACAATTTCTGGGATGATTTTTTTAAGTAGATTGTTACTTAAAGTATCATCTGACGTGCTTTTTTTGTTGCTTAAGTTTTGAACAATGTACATTACTTCTTCTTCATTGGTGGAGTTCATATACATTGATTTACAGATTGCACTATTTATTTTTAATTTATCTTCAGTAACTATTTGATTTTCTAACAGCTTCTCTGTGACATTGATGAAGTATTCATTGAAAAGAATACTTATTTCCTCTGGGTCTTCGATGATTTTGTCGTCAACTTTTAGCTTATTAATTTCAAGATTGTTTTGTTTTCTATTCATTATACCGTTTATTATTTCCCATTTTTGTTTGGAGCAACTCTTTGCCTCTTCAAATTTTTGTTGAAAATAATTTTTTTCTGCCTTTCTCTTTACTGATGTAAAGTAATTTCTAAACTTTTTATATTTTTCAACATCAGCGGAGTTTGGTGCAGCGACTGCTATTTTATACAGTCGATTCTGTTTTTTTGATAATTTTATTATTTCATCAGATACCCATACCCAAATAAGTGAATAAAAGTTATGAAATTGAATATGCAAATACCGAATATATACATATAGTACATATAAATAAATATATATATATATATATATATAGTATTTATGTATATATATACATATATATATATATACATACAATAAATACTATATATATATATAATAAACAATATATATACATATACATATATATATATATATATATATATATATATATATAAAATTGGGTGTTTGTCATAAGTTTTCTTTCATGTGTGCATGTATGGCAGGGTTGTACCGCAACAGCTAAGCTCCAGTTCCGGCCGGATATTTGACCATTTCTTACATTATCATCACTGTCCGGATATTATTGCAGGATAGTTTGCCTGATGGACACAACTAAACTTCTGTGTCTACTTTTACATAGACCCTAAAACTCCGATTTATCAACAGATTTGTCGTGACGTGTTGTGGGCTAAAGTACTAGACTTTATTTTAGGTACATATAACACCAAAGTTTTGTTACAAAGAAAAATTTGTTTGTTACAAGCGCTAGTTTTTTGTTGTATTACACAAGAATTATGTAAAATTTAACTCAAACTTTTGATTAAAATACTAAAATATATTAATTTATTAAAATTGGACGCATCTTTTTTTAAAAACAATGCTAACACGCCCCACCATCCACAATTCTACTGTTTAATGATTATTAGTTTGAAAGACTGTGTGTTAATCATTTTTCTATTTATCTATTATTAACTATGAAAACCGAAGCTTAAAGATTTTTAATTCAGAACTCAGACCAGATCAGAAATCATTTGCAATATTTTTTTGAGAAAACTAAATTGACAAGTTTAGAAAAAACAAGTAAATTCCAATTTCTTTCAGCATTTTAAACTAAGGGCAAAATTATTGAGTTATCTTTAACAGGATTTAATGAAATAGTAACTCTGATCCTTTTATATTTATTTTTAGGGATTAAAGCTTTTTAAAGTTAAGATTCATTAAAACGAGAAACATTTCCACATCTTCTCTATAAGTAAGTGTGCTTAAATCGAGTTCATCTTATATCTTTATGGTTTTATTTCAATCCAGGCTCTATTGCGATTTTAATAATTCAAGAAAAAGATGAAGGACATAAAATAAGTTAGTAAAATTAAAAAATTAGAAACTGTTAAATACAAAATTTAAGTTTAGTGCAAGATTTTTAAAGCATCAAAAAGTAGGGAGAACCAGAACGGCAATATCATAGCTCTAAGAAAGTTAGTCAAAATGCTGTGTTTGTGTGCATGTGTGTGTGTTGGTATTAGATGTTTGCGTGATATACAAATATATACTTATTGATATAAGATAACATGGAACTGAGTGAATTGTAAAGTTAAAAAACTATAGTAAAAGGACGTAAATTCAGGTGTTCAAATACTACGAACCAGAATGATAGCAAAAAGGATCTAATTTGGATGAAAGTAATGATGTAACTAAGTAAAACACAGAGTATTTTTGTTGTTGGTGTAAGGTTTCAGTGTCGTGGCTCGATGTGTCATATTGCAAAATGGCAGCGGGACATTCATTGTCATGGAACTTTATCGTCTGTCCCGTCGTTTCCTCTTTGATGCTTTATTTAGCTATGTTAATACCCGAAGTCGTAGATTTCTAACTTATTCTCCGAAAACAAAAAAATTTCGTTCTGCCTGAGTGAGTGTTACTTTCTATGTATCTATCTACTCACACATACATATATTTGTTCATTTAGCTACACACATAAAATATGTGCGTGTGTGTGTTTGTGTCATCGCGTTTGTTACTCTGATATTGTGCCATCATTGTGTTACTCTGTCATTGTGTTACCACTGTGTCATTTTGTTATCATTTTGATATTGTGTCGATAGTTCGATCGTGTTAATGCAAACTTCTCTGCCGCAGTATGTTTTGTTGGTAGATCTTATAGCAGTATCGTAGACGGATTTTTGATGTCGTGATATTTAATGTCTTTGCCCACTATTATCCTATTATTGAACTGTTTGGATAATTTATTGATTAAATACTTTTTCATCGTTATTTTGTTATTATTAAAATTATGCTTCTATGCTAGTAAATTATTTTGTTTCTATGAATTATGTTTAATTTCTAAAATTCATCACCTACTGTTTAACATTTAAAAAGTATTAAATCCTGATTAATGAAGTATGTGTGCGTATATGTTGTGACGTGTGTGTATGTGTGTGTGTGTGTGTGAGAAAGACAGAGAGAAAGAGAGAGAGAGAAAGAAAAGAGAGAAAGTAGACAACAATATACTACACACACACATACAAAGTTGGATCTGAATAAATTCAAATTAAATTTAAGTAACTAAATAAAATGGAGTTTCCATTGAAGCGGATTTAGGTTAGAAAAACATTGTTTCATTAGAGTTACAATTATTATTAATATTATCGTCATAATTATCATTATTGTTATTATTTTTATTATCAGTATTATTACGAATTAAGTTTAAAAAATGGATTTGAGATCATTAAATATATCACAAACGTGTTTTAAAATTTTTCAGTATTAGCTGAGCAACACGGTGATGACACTATGATGACTTGACACTTCTATCTTCTATGATAACACTGTCGGAGCTTGTTTGGATCTAGCTGTC